CGGAGCTTGACGCGCCAGGTGAGCCAGGCCGGGGAGCCCGGGCACCTGCCCCGTCCCCGCCGTTCCGTCTCTGTCGGGCCGCTGGGGTCTCCACCGTCTTTGCTGAGCCACCTCTTTGCCTCGGCAGCTGGTACAGGACGAGAACGTGCGCGGGGTGATCACCATGAACGAGGAGTATGAGACGAGGTTCCTGTGCCACTCTTCACAGGTGAGGGACCGGGCCGCGGGGCAGGCTCGGGGGCCCGCTCCCCTCGCCCACCGCCCTGGGCCTGGGACGGCTAGAGAAGTTTGGGGGAGGTCATCATGCCCCAGAGCCAGGCGTCCCAAGCTGCTTTGCCTCCAGTCTGGTCCTCTAAACAGCACCTGGAGGTAGGCTAGAAACTGTGAAAGGCGTTTATTTAAAAGTTCAAGTTGGGCCGGGCGCGGTGACTCACGCCTGTAATCCCAGCACTTTTGGGAGGCGGGAGGAGGAGGCGGGCAGATCACTTGAGCCCAGGAGTTCCTGACCAACCTGGGCAACATGGCGAGGCCCCCATCTCTACAAAAATACAAAAAGTAGCCGGGAATGGTAGCGTGCGCCTGTAGTCCCAGCTACTTGGGAGGCTAAGGCAGGAGAATCACTTGAGCCGGGGAGGTGGAGGTTGCAGTGAGCCGACATCTTGCATTCCAGCCCAGCCTTGGGCGACAGGAGTGAAACAGTCTCAAAAAAAAAAAAGAAAAAAAAAAGTGCAAGTTGACAAAGTCTGATTTCTCCTTTGTGAACGAATGTAATGTATTCTTATTTCGGTAAACAAAATCAGAAACTAAAATTGAAAGGCAGCTTTCCTGTGCCTTCCTGATTTCATTCATTCTTTCTGCACTTTGAGCTCTGAGTATGGGTCAGCATTCCCAGTGTTAAGGATTCCAGATGAAGGCCCTGCCAACTATAAGAAGAAAAGCACCCCCTTAACACGTCCCCCTCCCCACATTTTTCATAAAACTGTAGAGTTAATTTGGCTCTGATTTGGGGGAATTTTTAGTCATATGTTAGAAATCATGGTGGAACTACAAAGTTCTCTCATAACGAAGTTTAGGCCTAAAGCATAACTTTCATTAAATGTGACTGGCTTGTTTGTGGAATCTTCC